TTCGGCAGCACCTCGTTCTCGGCCCCGAACCAAACCAACGCTAGTATCATGAGGGATTCTGAGGCGGGTTTTGGAGAGCATCAATTTCGTCACGCAGCGGTCTGTTTTCGGGGCCAAGACGGAATCATCCACCCTAGGCCACGCGTAGGAGCCCTCCAGGGAGACCCATGGGCGGTCAACGTCGCTACTCGGGACATCGGGTGAACCCTCGAGAACGTTCAGGAGACATATGTACAACAGGGTGATCACACAGCTTCATGGCGCATAATAGACCTCCCCCACCTCGACGCCACGATCGAGGTCGATCTCACCTTCCATAGCTATGTTGGCGACGCGACGAAGGTTCTGATATCGATGGGGGGAGGAGGTCGGCGACGAGCTTAGCGGTAAGTCCATCATGCATAAGAATATTCTGAACCAGAGCATGTTGAACCACAACTGTCAGATGAACCCAACCAAAAATTAAACAATTGCGGCAATATTTGGTGGTGACAGTAAGCAGATTCACCGCAGATTTCAGTCAAGCGAGCTCCCATTCGGCAAGTGTTGTCAACGACCGTGCTCGAATGTTTGGAGGGATGCTCCGCGCAGATTCTACATTCACTTCTGAATTGCCAGCTCGCCTTGCAGCAACCGATGCGGGCTACGCTGCGACGGGCAGGCAGCCCGACACCCCCGTTCGTGGAGAAACGAACGGTTTTTCTCAGCAGAGTGCGTGGCCCTGCTATTTCAAGCATCGAGAGTTTCCTCCCGACTGCTGCACGTGTCGCTAAGCTCGAGTCTCGAGTTCTTGGGCATGCCCGCCGTGCCATGCAGGGAACAACCAAGCAACATCGCGAAGATCATCCCGTACCGTGATCCAACCAGCAAATACTCCATCACTGGCACTTCGCGCCACTTGTACTCGAAGCCAGACCCCGCCGTAGCAAATGGTATACGTCTTGGGTCTCGCATCCTGAGGCGCACATCTCGGAATGGGGGGCGCTCCTTGGGACTGTGGGGATCGAGCTCCAAAATGGCCCCCACATCGGTGACTAGGGGAAACTCGCTGGGGCCGCCTGTCCCTGGGCCAGAAGGTTTGTCGACGACATTCGCACGCTCGCGGATGAAGGTGACCAGGAGGCTGACATGAGAGCTCGGATCGACAGCACCCCTTTCCAGCTCTTCCAGGGTCCAGATGTGAGCGCATGGTTTCGGACGTTCGACCCCCCAAAAAGACGGGCCCACTGGCTCAGTGTTAGAGTACCACCTCCTGGGCGCCATGCTTCCCCTCCTCCTCCACTTTCGCATCCACAACACGACGATAGACAAAGTCATCATAGGTGTACCGGAAGTGGCTGTCCTGTATCATTTGTAACCCGACGCCAGCTGCCAGCGCACACGCATAGTCACCAGGGGTTCCGAGCCGTCCTGTCCCAGGCCGTGTTCACCAACCAATGTTTCGTCTGCCTTTCAGTTTCTGACAAAAAAACACCTACAGACAGCTACAGTCCGTTCAGGACAGGAAGATGCACAACTTCACACAGCAGTACCCATCAGGTACGTCAGCATGAAGATGTTCTTCGTTGCTCATTGTGTCAGGCTCAAGTACACGATTCGAGCGCACTTCAATGTCATACCCGCTCGCACTTTCACGCACCCCCATTGGTCGGCGATGGAAGTCGAGGCGGCGCCAGAGTGGATCCCGAAGACCAAGCGCAAGGCAGAGCCCACGGCGGGTCCAAAGGACTCCAGGTTGGCTCGCATCGAGGTCAGATCCACGAAGAGTCTCCTGATGCAGGAGGCCCTCTGGCGGAACTCATCACAATCCCGGCCAGGCTGACACTCCGCAACCGTCGAGAGCTGGCGGGGCTTATCGGCGTATGCTACACCTGCCTCTGCTCCCGCACAGCGCCGAGCTCGTCCCTATCTTACGCCAAGCAGGCCTCGGCTGCAACGAGACATGCAAGACGGAGGGCGACGACCACAAGAACATGCCTCCTTGGCTCCGCATCTTCCTGGCTTTAACCCAATACCTGATATCCCAGCCACAACTGAAGGAAGTGTTCATCCCATACTGGAGCGCCCTCGTCAAGAAACCAGAGCAAGAGGCGCTGGGCATCCTGCAAGCACACATCAAATACTTCCGCATGAGCCCGTGCTACTACTACAAGAAGAATTACGACAACCCGCAGCAAGACAAGCTACAGTTCATGATGTCATCGGCGCAGCAGTCACTGGAGGTGTCATTTACGGGGATCACGCTTCACGAAGCTGTATGCCAGAAGATGATCGCGCAGAAGGGAACCTAAAAGCCTGGCAGTGCTCCGCGGGGAGCGCTCGAAAGGGACGCACAGATCCTCCTCCAACGCATCGGCATCAGCAACGATGGCATCGCCACAAAGGTCAACAACTGCAAGGCCAGCAAGGCCAGCAGCAGAAGCGGCGCCAAGGGCTCCACGGGCAAGAAGGAAGGCAAGGGCAACAACACCGAGGAGGAGATCGCTCAGATACTCGAGGACGACTGCAACTAGCCCTTCTTGACCAGGTCGCAAGATCCCAGCGTATGTGTGAAATGATTCGGAACGGACAGATGAATGATGACGCACTGACCCGACTCCAGTCTAGCCCCTCCGAACCGATTTTCAAGTATCAGGTTGGACATCTTTGTTTGTTTCATATGTCTCATGTTGCTGGGACACCTGTGGAATTCGAACTCTCCACGGAACAGCTAATGAGCCGAGTGACCATCCCTACTGACCTCCCCCTTTCCTCGGTTGAGTCCCCTTCCCCCCTTTCCTCTTCTGCTCCCACCTTCCACCACGGTGTGTCACGGTAGATAGGGACCCCGACATCACGGGGGCCTGAACATGTATTCATTTGTGACGATTCCACGACTCGTCAAGATTGCTAGCAAGGGCCTGGTGCTTCTGGAGGGCGGTTTAGGTTTCCCCAACGGACCGTCCCTCTTTAAGCCAGTGGAGTGCCACAGCGAAGCCGCCGGTAGGCGCATAGGAAGCACAGCACACAGCTGAGTTAATTTAGTCTTCGCAATCGATGGTGTGAAGAACGTTCAGTTTCTGGCTCGTAGCCTTCATCTGGCCCAACTGAAGACTGGGTTCGCACTCCCCGCTTATGCCGAGGTGGAGTACACAGAACCCCGCCCCGTCCGTCACAGACAAAGAACATTGGCTCGCAAATGGTTGTCTGTCTGTCCGTCCTCCTCCTTCAAGGGGGGGGGGCAGCGGGCGCGCAAGAAAGGGTCTGGCTGCGCGAAAACGGCAAAGCTCGACCTAAACGCGGGTTGTTCGTTCTCGTCATGTTTCCGGTTCCTCTCGCTCTGTGGCCGACCCGCCCCTGGGGACAATTGTTTCAACTCATTGGGGGTAACGCGTGTTACCCAGGTGGGGGTCTAGGATGGGGGAGTAACGGTAACGGCGGCCACGGCGTGCACCCGCCGGGGCGAGTCCGAGCCACCGGCATATCAATCGCCCGTGTGCTCCGCAGCCCCAGCGTACACGGCAATGCCCAATGCCTGCGTGCCAGCCCTTGCGAACGACAAATGCCCAATGCCTGTGCGCACAAACAACATCGCCGCCTGCGTGCACCAGAGTGCCTACGCACACCACAGCAGCCGCACGCACCACAGCACCACGTCGCTGGTATACACCGCAATGCCTGTGTACACTGCAGCAGCCGCGTGCGCAACAAATATCTCCGTAGGTCCCCCCCCAACCCAACAACGGCCAAAACGAAATCCACCGAGAGAACACGTGTGAAGAACCCCAGCCGTCCACGGAGGCAGTGCAGCCGAAAACCGACTGAACCAACTGCGAATCCGGAATCGGCCAGACCCGACAGTTCGCAGGCGGCCTGGGCAAGGGCGCAGCGACGCGGCAACCGCACGACGGCCGACCGAAGCGAACGGACCGAGCGCAACCGACTCGCCCGAACCACAGAGGTTTAGACTGGAGCGGTAAAGGCAACGCCCATGGGGGGGGGGCGGTGGGAGGTTCAATCAATCGATGGCGCGAATGATTGCGCGAACTAATGCTGAGGGGCACGTGCTAGAACAAGAGGCGTAGACTGTTGTGCTTGAGAGGATTGCATCCGTGTGCAACTCTTGCGTCCAGACCAGAAACTGTCGCATCCGTGCGCAACCACCGAGACAAAAAACTAGAGCACCCGCTCTGGCCTCCCCCTCGGTGCCATCCCCACCCCTCGCCGTCCGGCTTCCGGGCCACAGCTTGGGACGATCCAAGCGCCCCTTTTGAGCAACCTCGGAGAAGCGCAGCTGCCGAAGAGCATCTCGAAGCTGGAGAACTCGAGTAATTAGGGGATCGACTGCAGAATTGCCTCACCCCCAACTCATATGTCCCGCCGATGCCCGCGAAGGAACGCGCAGAACGCTCCGTAGATCTAAGAACACTCTACGGCAGGTTCGCGTCGTGACGACCCCCGCGTTGGTTTCTGACACCGCGTGGATCGTTCAACCTTGAACGATCGGCGGCTTTCCGATCGCCCGATCGTTCCGTGTAGGCCGATTCTGGGCCGCTGGCCGCGTTCAACCTTGAACACCCGCGGCGTGGTCGCCGCCGGTCGACACGACGCGAACCTGCCGTACGCGCTGTTCGTAGGCTCGATGAAGGAGCCAACTCTGGGGCAGATCGAGTCTGCATTCGACCTCCTGCTTGCAGACGCGCGAACACCTCGACCCTCGGAGACGCGGAGCTGCTGGAGAGCACCTCGCAGCCGGAGCACTCCCGAGCACCGACGAAGACGAGGAGGAGGGGCAGGAAGAGGAGGAGGAGGAGGAAGAGGAGGAGGAGGATGAGGAGGGGTAGGAAGCGGAGGAGGAGGAGGAGGAGGAAGGGCAGGAAGAGGAGGAGGAGGAGGAGGAGGAGGAGGAGGAGGGCATCTCGAAGCCGGAGAACCACGAGAACCGACGAAGACGCGCGAGAGCCTCGATGACACCCTCGGTCCCGAAGGGCGGCGCGCCGAGGCGCCGCTGCGGGGGCCGCCTTCGCGGGCGGCGCGTACATCTTGGGCGCCTCAGGCGGCCGCCGCGGACTGGCCCCTCGCCAGAGACCTCCCAGATGGGGTCCGAGTGGATGGTGTCGAAGGATCGCGCTGCATCGCCAACGCATCGCCGATGCATCGGCGATGCGCTGGCGACGTCGGCGATGCGTCGGCGACGTGGGCTTGGAGAAAGTCGGGCTCTTCATCGAGCCGAATCGCCGATGCATCGGCGATGCGGCGCGAACCTCCGACCCCATCTGCTCGGACCCCATCTGGGAGGCCTAGGAGGTCCGCGCCCCCGGGCCAGGCGCGAGGGGGTACCACCAGCCTCGAGCTCGCCCCTGCGCCGGAGATATTCCAAGGCGATGGCAGCTGTGGGGATTGGCCATCAGAGACTGAATGTGCTCTTGCGATGGGCACCGAGACAAGGTGGTGCAGGTCATAGGAGCAGGGGCATGCTCCAGGCTGGTAGAGCGGGGGGGGTTCGCGCGCGCGCAACGATGGAATGGCCAGAATCTATTTTCAGTTCTGGGGCGGGACAGGAGGACCACCTTCGCGTCCGCCCGAATCCTCGAGAGAAAGAAGGAGGAGAGGAGACAAGAGAAAGAAGGGAGAAGGAGAGAGAAGAACATGACATGACAAGGAAACAAGGAAACGTCAACCGCCAATCAGTGGGCAAGACAAGGAGAAGGAGAAGCGGAGGCTCCAGAAGGAGGGACACCAAACCACTGACGGACTGATGCTTTCAGACCCCCGTTGGCTTTCCGAAAACTCGGCATCGGCGGGCCGTTTCTGTTGTTGTTGTTGTTGTTGTTGCCCCCCGGGCTATCAACGCGTGGTCTGCGACGACAGCCCTCACGCGATGCCCACATCGCCACCAGTCCTTCGTCAGCTGGCTGCCCTAAGGGAACAAACGATGACATAAACACAGAACCTTTCTGAAGTCCGCGCGGATTTCTCGAATACGCGCTGGAACCCCCTGGCGGCGCCTCCACCGTGAAGGAGGTCAAACGCCGATCCGGTAAATCCGCGCGGACCTCAGGAAGTTTCTGTGTTTATGCCACTGCTTGTTCCCTGATGCTCTTTGCCTGTTGCCTCCAACCCCTCTGACTTCTCAATCTCTTGGGACGCCCCCCAAAAAACCGAAACATCGGGCACGATGTCCGAAAGCAAATGCTGCTCAAAACTGATAACAACCACTGTTGGGCAGGCGAGCGTACGCTTCGAATGGGCAACGGCCGCGGCGAAGCCTGTTCAGAACTGACAAAAGATCTGCTGAACCCGTTGTTTGAGGACCGAGTCACACTTTGGAAACCCGGAACGGTGCGGCACCAAACCGTGCGGTGACCTCGAAATCCCCCAAGACCTCACCGCACGGTCCGTCACCGCACGGCCTTGGGACCCTGGAGCCCCCTGCCGCCCGAGACGTCCTCGGAGAACGGCCCGAGTCCCCAAAACCGTGAGGTGACCCCGAATCCCCACCGACTCACCGCACGGTGTGGTCACCACCCCGTTTGGGGGGACCGGGGAGGAGGAGGAGGCGGCGGAGGAGGAGGAGGAGGAGGAGGAGGAGGAGGGAGCAGGAGGAGGAGGAGGAGGAGGAGGAGGAGGAGGAGAGGAGGAGGAGGGAGCAGGAGGAGGAGGAGGTAGGAGGAGGAGGTAGGAGGAGGAGGGAGGAGGAGGGAGGAGGAGGGAGCAGGAGGGAGGAGGAGGAGGAGGAGAAGGAGGAGGAGGAGTTTGCGGGCCCCCGGCACACACACACACACACTCACCCATACGGCGAGGCACGGGGAGGGGGCTCGGGGTGCGCGTCTGGTCGGCGGGCGGCCCCCGCTCGAACGGGAGACCATCGGCCCGACAGCCCGCACCTCCTGCCCACAGCCAACCTCCGCTCCGGTTCCAATCCTGAAGCCGTTTCTGCTGCCGCTTCCGGTCGCCGTTTTCTCGCCGCTTCCATATGTTCAAGGGACGCATTTTTTCGGACACGGAGACAAAACGGCCCTGCCGTTTCCGGGGCCCACAAAGCCCCAGACCATGTTTCGACTACTCTCGAATACTCCTCTAGGGGGCCACATGCGAACCCTACCCCTACCCCCACCCCCCACGATTTCTGAGGGGGAGGGTGGGGTTGACTTCGCTCGGGAGCTCCCGAACGAAGTGAACCCCACCCTGCCCCTCAGAAATCGTGGGGGGTAGGGGCAGGGTTCGCATGTGGCCCCCTATTATAATCCTGCTCGTTTCTAAGTGTTCTCCCGGCCCCCTAGTGGCCAGGAAGAGGCCCAGGACAGAACGACTAGAAACGAGAGGGTCTTGGCCCCCAGAACATCAAAGGACTTCCGAAAGACTAGACATGAACAATCTGAACCAGGACAAGAAGAAGCGCCGTGAGCATAAAAATTTGGCGCTGCGCGCGGACTTCTTGGATCTGCGCCGGGCTCCCCTCCCTGGCGCGCGGCGCGCGCCGAGGGCGGCGCCGGAGGCGCCGCCAGGGGGGCCCCGGCGCCGATCCAACAAACCCGCGCGGAGCGCAAAACACGTATTGTTTGTGGCGTTGTTTCTTCTCCGGCTCGCCTCCCTCCGACCCCGCTGTGGGTATGAGTGCAGATTGCTCGTTCAGAAGTGTTTCCGTACCCATGTCGGCCCCCCGGGGCCTCACCAGGATAGCGTTAGGCCGGGTATGGTCTCCTACAGGCGGACTTTTGACGAACAGTACCGTAGCACCCCGCAGTTGCGGATAAGAGTGGGGGGGCGGCGGGTATTTGGCAGTCTGCGAGTCTCTGCAGAAGTCCGCCGCAGACGCATAATTTTTCAAGCTATAAAACGAGCTCGCCGCAGGCGCAGATTTTTTGTGTGAAACCATTGTGGGTGGGTCACGGGTTGGGTCGCAAGTGGGTCGACGATGGGTGGGTCGCGGGTGGGTCGCAGGCCGGGTCGCGGGTGGAGCGCGGGTGGAGCGCGGGTGGGTCGCGGGTGGGTCGCGGGTGGGTCGCGGGTGGGTCGCAAGTGGGTCGCGGGGTGGGTCGCGGGTGGGTCGCGGGTGGGTCGCGGGATGGATCGCGGGTGGGTCGCGGGGTGGGTCGCGGGTGGGTCGCGGGTGGGACAACAACGAACACAACCACAACAACAACAACAGCAGCAGCAGCAACAACAATAGCAACAAGAGCAACAACAACCACAACAGCGACAACAACAATAACAACGCAACAAGCATAATCCTCACCACGGGTTATCACTTTAGCCACGCATCCAGAGACAATGAATGACCGTTCGGCCCCCTCACTCTGATAAGAAAGAGAGAGAGAGAAACAAAAAAAAGAAAGGCAAAGAAAACGAGAACGAACAAAATAGCCTGGGAACGATTCTGGAATTGCAGTTTTTCGTCCAAAATCCGCCTCTAGTCGTACACTCCCGACCTGAAGCTAGGGCGAGAAGACATCCGCTCTGGAGCGCTCCGGGGCGCTTTCAGGGCGTTCTGGAACGCCCTGGGAACGCTGCTGCGCCCGAGACATACTCGGAGGCTGCGGGATCTCAGAGGCTACCAAATTGACCGAGAGCCCCGGATCATAAATCATCTACCCCAATAACCCTTGAGAGTTTACTATCCCCGGCCAATGCAGATCTGGTCGGGGAAAGGGGCGGCGGGGCCGAACTTCGCTATCGCGGGGGAAAGTTGCAAATCGAAATTTGTATGTTTATGATGCTGACTAGCAATGTCCTCATCCCACGTGATGCGAGGCTATGGGATATTTTCCAATTGATACCGTGGCACCCCGCAATTGCAGATAAGAGTGAAAGGGCGGCGGGTATGTGGCAGTCTGCGAGGCCCTGAAGAAGCTCGCCGCAGGCGTAGTATTTTTCAATCTATAAAACGAGCCCGCCGCAAGCGCATATTTTTGTGTGAAAACACTGTGGGTGGGTCACAGGTTGGGTCGCAAGTGGGTCGACGGTGGGTCGCTGGTGGGTCGCAGGCCGGGTCGTGGGTGGGTCCCGGGTGGGTCGCAGGCCGGGTCGCGGGTGGGTTGAGGGTGGGTCACGGGTGGGTCGAGGGTGGGTCGCGGGTGGATCGCGGATGGGTCGCGGGGCGGGTCGCGGGTGGGTCGCGGGGTGCTCGCGGGTGGGTCGCGGGTGGGACGACTACGACAACAACCAACACAACAACAGCAACAGCAACAACAACAACAACAGCAACAACAGCAGCAACAATAACGACAACCACAACAACAACAGCAACAACAGCAACAACAACAACAACAACCACAACCACAACCACAACAACAACAAACAAAAAACAACAATAACAACGCAACAAGCAGAATCCTCACCACGGATTCTCACTTTAGCCACGCATCCAGGGACAACGAGTGACCGTTCGGCCCCCTCGCCCTGACAAAATTATCAAAAACATCTCAAACATAAATTACAATTATAAACCTCTCTCAAAGACATCTCAAAGACATCTCAAAAACACTTTCACAGAAAATCGTCCCCAAACCTTAGAAGGCCCCACAAACAGCAGGGCCGTCTTTCCACCGTGTTCGGCAAAATGTGTCTCGAAATGGGAAGCGGTCATCAAAAGAAACGGGAGAAACCACGGCTCCAATATTTGAACCAGATCCGGAACCGGCAAACAAACGGCGACGGAACCAGCAAACACAAGGCGACGGAACCGCCCAGCAAACGGCAAAGCGGAACCGGTGACGAAAACGGCCCTGCCGTTTTCAATGCCCACTACAGTGGGGGCGCGCATCAAGAAACCATGTGCTTTTCGTCAGGGTGTCCTGGGTTTCTTCGCTCCTCGCGCTGCGCGGTGACTTCCCGCAGCCGTTGAGGGGGCTGCTGCGTTCAGTGTGTGCTCCAGGTTTGCCCTGGGGTGCACCTCGCGCACGGACTCTCAGGGTTTGGTTTCTTGCGAGGGTTTCTTACGGCCGCGCCCGCACTGTGAGCCCCAGACCACGTTTCGACCTTAGTGGGCCCTGGAAACGACAAGGGCCGTTTTGTTACCGGTTCCGTTTTGCCGTTTTTTGCCGGTTACGACGCCGTTTTGTTACCAGTTCCGTCGCCGTTGTTTTACAAGTTCGGGCTCCGGTTCCAATCCTGGAGCCGTTTCTGTTGCCGCTTCCGGTCGCCGTTTTTTCGACGCTTCCATATGTTCAAAGGACACTTTTTTCGGACACGGAGACAAAACGGCCCTGCCGTTTCCGGGGCCCACGAAGCCCCAGACCATGTTTCGACTACTCTCGAATACTCTTCTAGGGGGCCACATGCGAACCCTACCCCTACCCCCCACGATTTCTGAGGGGGAGGAGGGTGGGGTTTACTTCGCTCGGGAGCTCCCGAACGGAGTGAACCCCACCCTCCCCCACAGAAATCGTGGGGGGTAGGGGCAGGGTTCGCATGTGGCCTCCTGTCCTCCTGCGGAGGGCCATTGCCCGACGCAGGGACAGCGCGGCGACGCGCTCCGCGCCGCTGCCGGGAGAGAGGGCGCGGCCACGCTTGAGCAGGGACCGACCGTCCCGGCATTCCTATAGTCCTACCACGAACTGTTCTTAGAACCCAGAAATGTTCGAAGAGCAAACACAATGTTCTTAGAACATAAACCCGATGTGTTCAAGACAAGACAGACTCCGCCAGGTAAGAACATCTCGTGGGAACCACAAAAAGGTTCTTGGAGCATTGTCTGGTGGGGCTATAGGCGAGCCAGGACGCTTCGCCACTGCTCGACACGCGCGCCGTGCCCGTGCCCACACGGCGGCCCGGGGCCGCCATGTGGGCCGCGCAGGGCAGTGGGCACCACGGATCCGTCGACCCCCTCGGCAGGTGGAGGCTGTCGTCGTCGTCGTCGTCGTCGTCGTCGTCCTCGTCGTCGTCGTCGCCGTCGCCGTCGTCGTCGTCGTCGTCGTCGACGTCGTCGACGTCGTCGTCGTCGTGGTCGTCAGCCCCAGGGAACTTTCGAGGGACAACGAGGGACAAGGCGAAGGCGAGCGCCGTCGCGAAGCCGCAGGGGCGCAGGGCGCCTTTCCTGCCGCCGTCCGCCGCTGCCCTGCCCCGGGCGGGGGCGGCGGGGGCGCTGCCGGGCCCGCGAGCGCCGGCGGGGCGGCGGGGTCCCCGGGGGGGGGGGGGTTGCCGGCGGGGGTCCCCGCGGGGGAGGTGCCGCCCGGTCCGGGGAGGCGGGCCACCAACACAGGAGGGCTGGGCAAGAAGCCCTCCGGAGCCCTCGGGCCTCGAGCGGAAGGAGGAGGACCAACGACGCCCTCCTGGGACATAGGTGTTACCAACACAGGAGGGCTGGGCAAGAAGCGTGTGAGATCGTGCGCCCTCGCACCCACGGGATCGCAGAGCCCCGGGGCTCGCGCGTAGAACTTCGCGAGGCGGTTCTTCGCCATCTTCAGGATGTCCTTCGCGGCGGCGTCCTCGGGCCGTGCCCGGCCCTCCTCCCCGTCGGCGACGTCGACCCCCCCCCCCGCGTCCCCTGACCTTCCAGAGAGCTATTTTTTAGCACTGGAGACCTAAAAACGTAAAAAACTTGACGAAACAGCCTAAAACCAAGATGTAGAATAGCTCTGGGATAGGTTTTTAAGTCGCGTGCTATTTTTTAGCCCTCCTGGAAGGTCAGGGTCGGAGCCCGTCCTCTGCGCGTGACACCGCGCCGAGAGCACGCCTGGGGCTCCGTGGGCCCCAGAAACGGCAGGGCCGCTTTTTCACCGTTTTCGGCAAAATGCCCTTGAAGATGGAAGCGGCAACAGAAACGGCTCCAGGATTGGAACCGGAGCGGGCACCCGCAAAAGAGCGGCGACGGAGCCGGTGAACAAACGGCGTCGGAACCGGCAAAATAACGGCAAAACGGAACCGGTAACAAAAACGGCCCTGTCGTTTCCAGGGCCCAACAAGGCCTGGGGCGCTTTTTGAGCTTCGTGTTCAAAGCCCAGCATGGCTCGGAAACGGGGCGAGGGCCGGCAAATCCGTGGCTGCTAAGACAGTCTCCCCGGAAGAAACAAAAACAACTTCCCGGAAATAAACCTTAGCGCACTAAAGGAAATAAACCTTAGCGCGCTAAATCGTAAACGGAATGATTCCCCGATAGAAAACAACATTTTCCGGAGCTCCGATTTAGCCGCTTCCGTTTTGAGCACAGGAAACATCAGGTCAGACAGGGGGGCATCTGAAGCCAAACTTATCCAGGCGAAGCCGCACATCAAGCCAAATGAGGCTGCACCAACACCACGAGAACAGGCCGATGCCCAATTCAATATCTCAGAACGTGCAGACAATCGCACCCGCCCGGAAACATCCAGCATCACCGTCGTGCGCTCCTACCCAATGTGCCCCCAGCTTTTTGCGCTGTGAGGCCATCTGGGCCTCGCTGGAAAAGCTGCGGCCACCTTGGGCCAGGGCCTCCTCAGGCAGCACCCGATCCCCACCACAACCCGCGCGGAGGCCTCTTGCATCGTCTTCTTGTAGAAGGCGTTCTCCTCCTCCCGGGTCTGCGTGGCCTCCTTGACCTGTCCGTCGAGATCAGCAATGCCCTTCAGCAACGCGGCGATCTCCTCTCTCGGGTGGGCGAACGCTCGGGGGTCAGAAACGGTAACTCAGGAGGGAAAGCACACACACACACACACACAAACACCATTAATCGTCGACCCCCTACAAAAAATAGCAAGAATACCAGTGGGGGGGAAGACGGAACCCCACAAACCATTGACAAAGTTATAAACAATTCTGGTATGTGTGTATTGATTTGCGTGTCCCTCGGCCCCGTCAGAAACGAGGGACAGAGGAGGGCAGGACAATGTTCGGCTTGTTCAGCGAAGTCGCTGGCAATCTGAGCGCTTGTGCTCACGTCCTCATCTTCGAATCATCTGTACAAGCTGCGAGGAAGACGTATCGTGACTTGAAATGGCGTGTTGGAATTAACCTACGCAAGCGGCGGCATCTTTGAAATCCAGCCGGGTGCCGATAACAGGAGCGAAACTCGTGCGTGCACCACATGGGAGCTTCTTCGGCGTTGTCGCCGGCAATCTGAATGATATTCGCACATCTGTACATGCTACTCAGAGACAGATCGTCACTTTAAATGGCGTATGGAACCTTGCCTGCGCAAGCAACGAGATATTTGAAATTTGGCAGGTGACGACACGAGGAAAGAAACGCGTTCGTGCACCATTTGAGAAATAGCATGTGTCCTGCAGGAGCGGGCTGCCGTTTTTGGCTTTGGCCACCGCTCCCAAACATCAACCCATCTGGGACACTCGGCCAAACTCATCAGTTCAAAGCTGCCAAACCACCGTCTGGGGTCAGGGCACATATGCTGTGATTGCTCTTCAAAGCGGGTCGACTCGAGCCAGCGAGTTTTAAACGGCTTCGCCAAGCGAAGAATTCAAAACGACGCTGCACATCGCCGGCCTATGTACACGCAGCCTTTTAAAACAGCTCGACCCTCCATCCCCCCGCCACCCGCACCTGCCTCCCTTGCTCCCTGCCCCTCGCACGCAGAGACACCGGCAACTGCATCAATATACACTCTCCGAGGTCCGCACGGCTTCCTTGGAGCGGTCTTGATCCTTCGCAGATCGATCCGCCGGAGGGTCCACAGGAATGCGCACGCACCTGCATGCCAGAGTCGGTCCTGGCCGCGGTCACGGCAGGCCCACCTGGTGGCCAGCCGCGGAGGCGGCACCCAGCTGCGCTCGCGACAGGAGGACTGCCGGAGCCCCGGCCCCGTCCGCATACACCCGCACGCCTTCCGCTCCTGGCACGAAGCTCTTGAGCCGAACCATGCATGGGCTGGGCCTGCAGGCGCGCTGCAGCTCGTCGTCGGAGTGCGCGAACCTGCAGGTGCCCTCGTTGCTGCAGTGCTGCCCAGCGGCTGCGGCCTTGCACATCTTGGTGCGCAGCAGGTTCGGCAGCGGATTGAGCTCATCCTCAGAGTGCGCGTAGCTGCACAACCCCTGCTTGCTGCAGGATCCGCGCTGGAAGAACGCGCAGAGCTTGGTCTTGAGGAAACGGTCCCTGGTGAGGCCGGGGGAACTGCTCACTATCATGGCGCGTCTCCCCTCCTATCACCCATCACCCATTCTTGGGGAAATCAAGAGGTACCGATACCGCTACTCCCCGGACCTCTCCTGGGGTGCGATCTGAACAGAATTTCAGGGCGAATCCAGCGGTGGCGACGAGGGCCTCCCCCAATGCCCAAAAAGGCGACACGAGGTCAGGGTAGCGGTATCGGTACCTTCCCTCCCTCCCTGGTCCCGCACAGAGGTCAGTGCAAATGGGGCGGTTTTCTCCTCAAACTCGACGCCAGGCAGTTACCGTCAGACATGTTGGTACACCCAACGAAATGCTTAAGAAAATATGGATTAAGAAATTCACAGTCTCAGAATTTAAATAAAAACCCGTCATTTCCATCAAAATCTTAGTAATTACATTGAAACATTAAGAATAATGGAGACTCTGGCGGAAAACGTAAGTTTTCTTAGTAAGCATCGCCCAGGGTGTAGGGAGGGGCCGGTTGCATGCCGAGAAAAGCCCCCCACCTTCTCAGAAAGCTATCCTGTTCCCTGCCCCCCCGTGTCCGGCGACTCCGAAGGGCGTGGCTTGCAAACGGTGTGGTTTGCAACTGCCACCCTTAGGGTCCCCCTGCAGGGCGGGCAGGAATCTCGATAGAGTTCTCCGCCGCGCTCCGAGCAGCGTCGTACAGTCGGGGCGTTGACCTAAGGAACCCTAAGGAACGATGCCCCTTTTCTCCTCACATTGAACTTCGATTTCCCATGGAAAACCTAAGGAAAACCCAAGGCAAACTGCGAAACAACTCAGGAACACGGAGCCCCTCCCCTTTCAAAAGGGTTCCTTTTTCAGCGACCCGACTGTACCCACCAAGCACCAACGGGGCCGATCGCAAACCACACCCTGGCGCACCCACACCCTTTGCGTTCAAGAAGGTGACATCATGGCTCTGGAAAACGATGGGACATGTGCTGTTTCCGTTTCCGTTTTGCTGTTGCTTCCCCGTTCTGGCGCCGATCTGTTTCCAATTCCGTCGCAGTTTGTTTCCAAGTCTGGCTCCGGCTTCAATCCCAGAGCCTTTTGTTGCTTCCGTCTCGGCGAACCGATGCTCACCGCTGTCGTTCCCAAGATCCAGACCTCTGGAAACGGTGGAAGAAGAGGCCCTGTCGTTCCCAAGAACCACAAAAGACAGCGAGTGGTAGGAATCAGAAGAGGGACCAATAGTGTCATGAGTGCCTGCGCAGACTCGAGGCCCTGCGGCACAGGAAGCCTCCGATCAGCACTCTGGGGGAGCACCCCCCCATGGAAGAAACGTTCGGTTCCAGAGCGTCAGCGTTGTCGTCGGCATCGTCATCGACATTGTCGTCGTCGTCGACATCGCCGTTGCCGTCGCCGTCGCCGTCGCAGGCGTCGTCGTCGTCGTCGCCCCCCTTCGCCACAGTGTCATGGGCACGTTCGCAGACGCGCGGCCCCGCGGAACCTGCTGCTTCCGATCCGGGCGTGGCCAGACTCTGTTTCTGGACCCTGCGGGGGGTCCATCCCGACTGGCTGCTCGAACTTCGCCCAGCCGCGGCTAGGATCGGCAGAAACTCCCGAGACCCTCTGAGGCGACGGCGATGGCCACGTCGCCGCCGTGCAGCCGTGCTTCGGTGCTGTCCAGAAGCAGCAGGGGCAGGAGGCCAAGAAGGTCGGGGCCGAGCCACGAGCGAGCGGGCCGCGAGGGGGAGGAGACCGAGGGCTCCGCGGCCCGGGGGGGGGGCGCCCAGAGGGGAGGAGACCAAGGAGGGGGCGCAACCGAAGCGGACGAGCCCCGAACGACCAAGGACCATCTGGCCATCGCTCGGACGTCCATGTCCTGTGTTGTGTCGATTCCGTGCGTGGCTTTTCCACGAAATGATAAAGGATGCTCCTCGATGGTCCTCGCCGAAGGAAAAATGCACACGTCGGAGCGATGGCCAGCCATGAGGAAAAAAGGTTCCCGAGCCCTTGATCACGGCTGCGCAAGAGCTTCCAGTCCTGGGGCCCGACCTGGGTGGCACGCTGCAGACCCCACGCGGGGCGCGCGTGCTCTCCGCATCGAAGAAGGACGCACGGTCCTCCACACTGAAGGGGCCCTGGGGCACACACGCACATAACTACGCACAAATAAGGGGACTCCCCATATTGTCCCCTAGTTTCTGGTTTTTTGTTTTCCCCCCGCTTCCCATAATCTCCTATATTTCCAAAGGAATCCTGACACACGCGCACACGTGTACGTCCCAGCGCGCCGCGGGAGTTGAAACATCCCTGGGGCGGCCAAGAGGCGCCCCAGGAGGCGGCAAAGGGCCCCCCAGCAGACCCCAAGAGGCCTCTCTGAGGGGGCGGTTGTACTGCAATGCAAGTACGCAATGCGCCTGGAACGCGCCAAGATGCAAGGGAGCCCTTGGGCCGAGGACACGGCGAACGCTGCAAGGTGTGCAGGCCTGCCCAGAAGGGAGGGATGCAAGGGGCCTCTGCCTCAGAGGCCCATCTTCAAAAGGCTGCTGCACCCCCTCCGCGAGCAAATCCCGGCCCACGAACAGAACATGCCAGCCCCGGGCCGGTGGGGCCACGTGGCGCGACCGAACTGGAGACGGCGCGGCTCGTTCTGCTGTTCTCTCTCTCATCCTCTTCTTCCTTAGTCTGCTGCCTTTCCCGCCTCCCCCTTTCTGTTCCTCCTTTTCTGTTTCCTTCCCGCTCTTCCGTTCGTTCCTTCCCTCCCTCCCTGGCTTGTTGTTCTTCCTGCGGCCGCTAACCCCGGTCCATCCCGGGGACGTGCCTAGCCTTAGGTCGGGCATGAATCCCTAGGGGGGGCTCTTGCGCAAACAGTGAGGAATCGGCAGAAAATGCCCCAAATGGTGAGCACACGCTCAAAACATCGTCCCCAGACTATTGCTTGAAGCTATGTTTGATTATTCCTCCTGCAGAGGGGGGCCCAGGCCCGACCGACGCCTAGCCTCTCGCCTCCTCCCCCCCCGCTCCGCCCTGCTGTGGGGCAGGAGGTGCCCGCGGCTGGGCTCGGGCCAACTGCACGAAAGACGGGACCCTGCAGCGGAGACCAGCCCACGAGAATCCGGGGCCTGGAAATAAGGAGGAGGAGGAGGAGGAGGAGGAGGAGGAGGAAGAGGAGGAGGGAGGAAGAATAGGGGGGAGGAGGAGGGGGGAGGAGGAGGAGGAGGAGGAGGAGGAGGAGGAGGAGGAGGAGGAGGAGGAGGAGGAGGAGGGGAGGGGGAGGAGGAGGGGAGGAGGAGGGGGAGGAGGAGGAGAGGAGGAGGAGGAGAGGAGGAGGAGGAGGAGGAGGGGAGGATAATAGGGGGGAGGAGGAGGGGGGAGGAGGATGAGGAGGAGGATGAGGGGAGGATGAGGAGGATGAGGAGGAGGAGGAGGAGGAGGGAGGAATAGGGGGAGGAGGAGGGGGGAGGGAGGAGGAGGAGGAGGAGGAGGAGGAGGAGGGGAGGAGGAGGAGGAGGAGGAGAAGGGAGGAGGAGAGGAGGAGGAGGAGGAGGAGGAGAGGAGGAGGAGGGAGAGGAGGAGGAGGAGAGGAGGAGGAGAGAGGAGGGGGGAGGGAGGAGGAGGAGGAGGAGGAGGAGGAGGAGGAGGAGAGGAGGAGGAGGAGGAGGAGGAGGAGGAGGAGGAGGAGGAGGAGGAGAGGAGGGAGGAGGAGGAGGAGGAGGAGGAGGAGGAGGGGAGGAGGAGAGGAGGAGGAGGAGGAGGAGGAGAGGAGGAGGGAGGAGGAGGAGGAGGAGGAGGAGGAGGAGGAGGAGGAGGATAGGGGAGGAGGAGGGGGAGGAGGCGGAGGAGGAGGAGGAGGAGGAGGAGGAGGAGGAGGAGGAGGAGGGGAGGAGAGGAGGAGGAGGAGGAGGAGGAGGAGGAGGAGGAGGAGGAGGAGGAGGGAGGAAGAATAGGGGGGGAGGTCCAACACCAGCACAGGGCTAGGGAGGCAACTGCTGGGAGGTCCTTGTCGGAAAGGTTAAGGACAGGGGGCTGCCTCCGAACAGGGGGGTGCCTCCACGGGGGGAAGGCGGTCCTAGATTTCGGTGCTGGTGGTAATATTTCGGTCACCTTCGCAGCCAGAATTCGACCACCATCGCCGAGATCGGGATCGTCTTCCCTCGGTGGAGGCACACCGCCGACATTGGTGCTGGTGCCGATCTCTAGGCCTGCAAAGGAAAACCCTCCACAGAAAACCCAACCCTGAGACCCCAGGACGTCCATGGATTTTTGATGTGGGAGCGCCACGCTGTTTCCGTCCCAGAACCGTCGAAGCCCAAGAAACCAGGGGCACTCTGGAGGCAAGCAAGGGGCAAACGAGCAATGGCATAAACACAAACAACTCGGAGGTCCGCGCGGATTTCTCGGATCGGCGCTGGACCCCCCTCCCTAGCGAGCGGAGCCCGCCGGGGGCGGCGCCGGAGGCGCCGCCAAGGGGGTCCCGCGCAGATCCGAGAAATCCGCGCGGACCTCCGAGATTTTAGGCTCATGTCATTGTTCGTTCCCGAAACGGTGCGGTGACAGACAGTGCGGTGACCCCAAGACCTCACCGCACGGACCTTCACCGCACAGCCTTGGGGCCTCCGAGGCCCTAGTCGCCCGTTACGTCCTCGAAGAACGACCCGAGCCCCAACACCGTGCGGTGACTCCCCGAATCCCCACCGACTCACCAAACTGTATGGTCACCACGCTGTTTTGGGGGGCCCCCGAGAACCGTCGAAACCCACGAAACCCCGGGGCACCCTGGAGGCAAGCATAGAGGGTGTCTCTCTCGCGGAGGAGGAGGAGGAGGAGGAGGAAGAGGAGGAGGAGGAGGAGGAGGAGGAGGAGGAGGAGGAGGAGGAGGAGGAGGAGGAGGGGGTAGCAGGAGGAGGAGGAGGAGGAGGAGGAGGAGGAGGAGAAGGAGGAGGAGGAGGAGGCGTGGGCCTCCAGTGTAAGCAGGCTCCTGGCCTCCGCTGCGCGGCTTCCCTGGGGGCCGCGCGGGGGGGGGGGGGGGGCAGGCGAGCAGGCCCGTGCTGGGGGGGGGGGGGGGCGCGCCGGTGGGCCGCGGCACCAGAAGTCAACCCCTGGCGAGGGTTCACGTCGGGCACGTCCTCCTCCCAGAAGGCGGAGACTTGGGAAGAAAAGTAAGAAACACACACACACACACACCAGTAGAAGGCGGAGGTCTGGGACGAAAACTGAGCAATGCCCGCCCCCCTAATAGAAGGCGGGGATTCGGGAAGAAAGTCAGAACTACAACTCCCCCCCTATAACATAGCCCATTCCTGCCCTGACCCGACCCAGGCCCTGTCGACACTGCGCCAAAACTAACCTGACCCATTAAAGGTAACGTGGCCAACGGCCTGGCGACACGGGTGTGTCACGCGCGCGCTGCAGCAAATTATGCACCAGAACAGGGCGACACAGCAACATGCAATGCAAAATTACACCAAAAAACACACCAATCAATGGATGGTTTTCACTGAGGAGATCGACCGGGCACCCGAGAACCCGAGAACCCAGAACCCACCGAAATCGACCCCGATCCAATAACCGGGAACCCAGGAACCCAGAACCGGGAACCCGGGAACCCAGCCTGCTACCAAAATCGGCGGAAATGTTCGCCAAATCTTTCAACTTCGGCAGGGACCCCTTCAGTGCACACACTGATTGGGGAAAAACATGCTCAATAACAGTCAAGAAGAGCACGGAAAATCGTCCCCAGACTATTTCCCAAACCATCCTCGAATCGTCCTCCTGTAGAGGGACATGCCCGGCTCAAGCGAGGGGTCGCCACTCGGCTCTTGAGCCGAGCCTCCGGCGGCCGCTCGGCATCACTCGGCCGCACCCCGAAGACTCTCGACAAGGCGCAGTTGCTGAAATTAGGTGGGGCATGTCCCCCTACAGGGAGATGCTGGGTGAAAACTTGAAAATAGTATAACAAATGCCCCAAAGTGGTCAAACAATGTGCGAAAACTCGTCCCCAACTGTTTGTCACTACTTTTGAACATTCCTTCTGTAGAGGGACATGCCCGACTCAATGCTGAGAGGAGCCCGGAGAGCACACCAAGGCGAGGAACAACAAAAACACTTCAGGAGCCGACGAGCACCTCGGGAACAAACAAACAAAGCAGCCCGCAGAAGTCCGCCCCCGATCGCCGCCGAGGAGGCCCCGAGCGACCTCGGCGGCGGCGTGCCTGGCTCCCGCTCCGAGGCGGCGGTGCTGACGCTGAGCTGGCGGTCCTGGAGGCCTCCCCAAATTGGGTCCGAGTAGATTGTGAGCATTGTTGAACCGATCCCCGTCCCCAGCGGCGTGGCCTGGGCCCCATTGGCCGATTCACCCCCCTAGATGGGGATATAGGTGGTTCCCTTCGGGTTTCAAGAGGTGTATCCCCAACGGGGGGGGGGGAATTTGCTGGGGGTCTCGAAGGGGATGGGGATGGATGGGGTTCGGTTAAACGGTACAGAGATTGGGGTGCAAGGATTGCGCAGAATCGCCGATGGATTGGCGATGCATCGGCGAGGCACTGGCGAGGCACCAGCGACGTCGGCGATGTACCGGTGACGTCGGCGTGGAGAGGTTCGGGTCCAGCATCGTGCCGCGTCGCCTTTGCATCGGCGATGCGGCGCGCTCCTCCGACCCCGTAGGTGGCGACATCCGAAACCCACCCCCACCAAACGTCGACTATCCTGGAATCGATGGAAGGCGGGGGTGCGGCTCGAACTTTGCCACGTGCCCGACGAATTCCGAACCCTACGCCCGCCGCCCATCGAGTTGTGCCCGAGTCGCTGATCGGCGCGGACAGGGTGCGGAGTCCGCCGCCGACCCCGAAAGGGCGGTGTGCAAAGGGTGCGGCTCGCAGCCCGCTTCCCCGGGAGGGCGGGCGAGGGCGTTGACCAGAGTGTTCCGCCGCGGCCCGAGGCCCGACGAGGGCAAGGAGGTGCCCGCCAGGCCCCAACGACGCAGATCGCAAGCCATACCCTGGCGTGACCACGCCGCAGTGTGTGATGGATCTCACAAGCGCTCCGCCGCCTCAAGCGGTGTGCGCTCAGCGCAGGAGCGCAGCAACATCGCAGGAGAGCGTGGTCTTGGCAGCGTAGCTCCGCACATGTGTCGGATGCTCCAGCAAGCAAGAGCACGGTGAAGCCCCAGCACAGCAAGGCGTTGACAGTGTAGCTCAGCATCAACACAGTGGTCGGGGGCCCCCGAGACATGTCCACAAGCGTTGCTCCGCCCCGGGGTGTGTGGACAGAGGACGCGCTGAGTGCACAAAAAGGGAAATACCACTTGCTCGCCGTCGCTGGGACGTCCATTCCCCCGTACGTGTTTCGACGTCCTGTTTCTATTAGCCCGCAAGATGGCCCAATATTCTCCTCAATAGTCTCCGCCGAGAAAACATGTACACGTCCTGGTGACGCCGACCTGAAGGCGCGGAGCCGAGATCCATCCATCCAACAAAATGCAGATCGCAAACCGCCCCCCGTCGTAATCACACAAATTTGGGACGCGCCAGTGAGGTGTCGCAACGGACACGATTCCAGCCACGGTTGGCGCAGAAACGCAGTCGTTGGGCGCTCCGAAGCAGGCCCTGAGGCCCCCTCTACAGCGTACGTCTGTCCAAGGCCAACGGCACTGTTGGCAAACGGCGATGTTGTGAATCTGGTTTCTGCAACGCCAAGCTCGCGCAGAACAAATCGCAGGAAAACACGAGCAAGCCTTTCCTACATACTTGGGTTGGCCACGAACCACCCGCACCTGCAATACCGAAGCCTACATCGCCGTTACCTTCTCAGACCCCCGACGGCATGATTTGTTTCACAACGTCGACCCCAAGAGGTTTCGACCCCTTCCCCCGGACCGCCTTCTCATCCTTTCAGTCGTTCTGCTGACGAACCCGAGGCTCGGTAAGAACTCCCAGAAATCGAAAGCACCGACAACACCTCAAGTCGTGGTTTTGCTCACACCGCGAGGGGGTCTGGGTGCATCGCCGTCAGCGTGTCTACGTATTAAGAGGCCTCCTCGATGGGGTCCGAAATAGATGGGGTCGGAGGATCGCACCGCATCGCTGGTACATCGGCGACAATGCACCAGCGATGCATCGTCGACGTGGGCAATGCATCGGCGACGTCGGCGTGGCGAACATCGGGCTCCACGTCGAGCCGCATCGCCGATGCGCCAGCGATACGGCGCGATCCTCCGACCCCACCTACTCCGACCCCATCTAGGAGGCCTAGAGTTCGCGCGTCTGCGACTGGTAGTCGCTGGCAAGAGGGAGGGGGGAGGGGTCCTCCACCGACGCCCACCACGAAGAAGAGGAGGGGGAGGGGGTCCTCCTCCACCTCCTCCTCCTCCTCCTCCTCCTCCTCCTCCAGCCTCCTCCCGCCTCCAGCTTCTGGTGCTGGGGGGGTGGACGTCAGGCCCGTCAATATGTGGCCGCCGTCGAGAAGGTCCAGGCCCACGCACTGCGCCGCCGCGCCCGCCCGCCCGCCCGGCGGCGGCGAAGGGCCGCC